TCTTCCGATCTCCCCAAAACCCCAAAACCCCATGGCTCAAAATTAATTTAACTAATGAAATTTAAGAATTTGAGTATGTAATTCAAAAAGATTAAAATAATCAATGGGAAGTAAATCAGCTAACTATGCTAATTCAATTAAGAAAAAATTAACATGTCTTCTAACATCTAGTGTGATAATAGGAATTACTGCTACAATCACAACTGTTATGGTTTTGTATGTCTACTTTTTCAACATCTCAAAGAATGACGTTATCCTAAATTTACTGTTTCAATCTGAAGAACATATGAGCCCAATAGCAATGATGAAAGCTTCTCAAATCCAAAATGTGATACAAATTTCTATCAACCATTTAAATAGTATATCTCACTACTATACTCTAATAGGAAATGGTTCTCTTACATAAACAAATCCAGATTAAGCTAGAAAATGGTATTGGAATCGTAATGTAGTTTAAGAAAATTTTAGTGGTTTTAAGAAGTATATGACTTAAGTGAGTCCCTAGCGTTGGGAAAGTATTTTAAATTCTAGTTGGTCTTGGAATAATAATAAAGAGTATTTAAGATTTTAAGATTTACCATCTTTAGAAAAACAGGTGTTATCAATGGCTTCAACTACAGATACTATTATTCAACCAATTTATAAGTCAAGTAAAGGGTAATATACATTGATATATTCAATATTCAGCGATGGAATCATATCTGAATACCCATATATTACTTATCAACCTGAAGAAGAAAACCCTTTATTGCTTTAACCTTACCCAATCTAAGTAAAAGATTTTTCCTCTAAGCAGAATAAATTAAGAAATTAAGTCAAAGTTGATGATTCTATAAAGGATTCAAAAGATATCTATAATGATAATAAAAAAAGACCCACCCTATAAGCGCTTGATTGTTAAAATTTAAATTCACTTTCCGATTATGAGCCGAGATGTTCCTCTTATTACATTAATGCTTAGGAAAATCCTGAAAAAACTGTTTTCAGTTCACCTTACATTGATATTTTATTGAATAATGTTTGCATTACCTTATCAAAGTTCTTCAAGTTGAATAAGAGTGTAGAGGGCGTCGTTGCAATGGATTTAGATATGAATTGGTCTTATTACAGAAATATTCTTGATAGTTTTCCAGGATAAAATCACTATTTCTTTTTGGATATGAACTATAATGTAGTATATCATAGCTTAAGCCCGAATAGGTTAAAACTATCTTCTATTACATAAATTGAATTCGGTGTAACTAGAAAATAAGATAATGCTAAATATTACAGACGATAACGTTCCTAATTTATAAATATTTTCAACTGAAAGCATTACATTTAACGAGACTGTTTTACCTGCATTTAGGCTGAATAATGTCTCAATTTTAGATTATAAGTACCGGGGATAAGACATGCTGATAGCAATATGCCCGATTAATTTGATTCTTGATTCAGACACTAACAAAACTGAGCATGTATTTTCAATAGGTATCGCAATGAAATCAGATGATGTGACTACTCAAATCAAATCTCTCACTATTATCTCTGACAGAGTAATTACAATCCTTTGCATTTTAGGAGCGTTGGTGATTCTGACTTTGATTACTGCTGCAATTGTAGCTTATGAAACTTCTCATTATATTATTAGACCACTTAGAATGTTAAATTCTAAAATGAGGGAAATTATAAATGCAAAGTAAGAAATTGAGTTAATAAACGAGGAAGAAACTTCAAAAGAACTCACAGATTTGTATGATGTTTTCAAGAATCTCATTTCAGCTAAGAAATTTGAAAATAATGACTTCATTTAAAAATCTGATGCTTTAGCTGTGATTGATTTGGCTGAGGCTTGCAACATGTTTGACTGTCAGAACTATAAAGCAGCTGGTATTTGCTATAATAATATTGCTAATATATAATTCAAGAACGAAAAATATAGCTAAGCAGCAGAAAACTTTTTTAACGCAATAGAGTAGGCTATGATCTGTCTTAAATTGAAAACTCCATAAGAAGTTTATGCTAGGTAGGATAGAACTCTTTCGAGAGAATAGTATTCGAACCTCATAGATCCTGAAACTCCTTCATTAGAATAGAAAATATATTATGAGAAGGTATTTGCTCATAGAACTTATCAGTATTCTATGTGTCTTTATAAGGAGTTAAGATACAAAAATAGTAGTTTAAACGATCCAAATTTAACCTGGAATAAGGTAGATGCATGGCTTAGATAATCAATTTAGAGATATTAAGGTATTAAGCAGGATGATTCTGCATAGCCTTTATTCATAGATCTGATAAAAAAAATAACTATAAGTAGAGCTTATTCAAACATTCATAATAACAAGTTACTTACAGCTGAGAAACTACTTGATTGTGCTTAATTGATGATAAGCTTCATTGAAAAAGGTAGATTGCATATAATAACAGAAGAAAGAGAAGAAGCACCTGTAATTCCTATTGAAATCCTAAGATAAAAATATCTTATGCACGCAGGTTTACTTTATACTGCTTTAAATCAAGACAAAGTAGCAGCTGGAATGTTTACAAGGTGCCTTAGATCTGGGCAAATTTATGACCCCCGAATTAGAAGAGAATGTGTCCTTCAGCTTTAATTGATTTTTGAGAGACATAATTAATACTCTCCATCCCTAGATAAAATGATTGAATCTTTTAATCACAAAAATAAAGATGTGGTGTTTTTAGTTAATGTGGAATAATCTATGGAACCTCATACTTTAAAATTTTAAGCTCATTTAGATTATATATTTGAAAAGGGGCTAGAGCAAAGAGATCGAATAAGCCTTATAACCTGTTCTAAAAATTGTAGGAGATTATTTTCTTTGGTTCATAAAGAAAAAAACTATGTATAGCTTAAAAATCTTATCACCAGAATAAAAACAAATCAATAAACTATCCCATGCTTGCTAAAAGGTGTTAAAGAGGCTGTAAAAGAATTTCTGGACTAAGATCATGAATTTTTCTAAGATCGTAATAAATTAATAATTTGTATGACAAATCATTTGTCTGAAGCTGATCTGCAGGAAGATTACTTCAATGATATTGAATATTTACTAAATGAATTCGAATGCACACTTATAGTATTTGGATATGGACTCAATAATAAAGAGAAAAAATATTTTAGAAAGCTATGTTTAAGTACATAAGAAGGTAGGCTTTTAATTGACCCAGATTTATATTAAATAGAAGAACTTTTTATCTCACTGTCAAACTATAAATTTGAAAGCAATAAAACTTTTATCCTAGAGACTTTCAACTGAGGAAAAAATATAAAGTATGAATTAAAGATATTTCAATTTTGGTTGAAATATTTTATAAATAGATTAATTAATTTTAATTATAATTTAAGTAATTTCATTTTTTCAAATTTTAAATCGATTTTGCATATTGGGGTTTTGGGGTTTTGGGGTTTTGGGGTTTTGGGGATGATTAATTT